CGCTCAAGGGGAAGGAGCCTCAGATGAGGAGGAGAACACCAGTGGGTTGGAATTTCTCCCACAGCGTCACAGTCATCATGTACTAACTTGACTCTTCCCTCTAAAAGAGCAGCGGCGGTTGACGAGCACAATATATTACCGCAAAGCAGAAGTGACTGCACGCCCTCTTCGATTCCCACCCATAATACGAGTGTGTAATATGCATCAGCACGTTCTGTCACGCGCCATACCACGCCAAAACCCACCGAGCAATCTAGATAGATTGGTGGGAAGTAGTTATAAAATGCTGAGTGGGGCTTAGGAAATATTAAAAAGAGTCGTAACTTCTCCCTCACGTTTACTCGGCTCTTTAAGCGATCAGCGAACAAACGACAGGGGACTTATGAGGATCCATACTGAGGAAAGATGATGCGCAGTGCTCTGGAACATTAACCTTTATTCATTGGTTTTTTTACCTCTCTTTTTTCTTTTTTTTTTCCCCACACTGATTCCATCATAACTTAAATCATTTTCTTGGGTAGTTCCCTCTCGATTCGTACGGTTGTAGAGACATCTCATAGATATGTTTTCTTTTCCTTTTCTAAGGGTTCGCCCCTTTTACCCCTTTCAATTCTTAAAGGTTTTACCCTTAAACCTCGTGCAACTTTCACTGCCATGGGCACAATCTGGCTTTGGATGTCCTTTCCTTTTAAATATGGCGGCATTTCCCACTCTGGAATATTCCCTCAGTGATTCCAACAGTGCACCCATCCATGTGTTTTCTATTTAGACGAGATATTTAGGGGAGAGGCTTTTGCTTGGAGACTTCTGTGGCACCACTTGGCTATTCATCTCGGTTCACTCCCGGCGCTACTGCTTTTTCCAGCCTTCCATACGTCACCATGTCACCCTTGATCGCCTATACCAGCGATTCCCACACATTTTTAACCTTTCAAAATAAACTTGATCCTCGATTTACAGGCCGTAATAGGCCTATAAAGGAGAAACCGTGGTCTTCCAGACATATCGTTGAGGACGTGTTAAACCGATTTGAAGCCTGTTTTGATGACAAATGTTTTCTCCTAGCTCATCTAAATATTTTGATGAAGCACACGTCAATTCGTCTTTCATGTATACGTGTGGGAAATTCTTAATGAAATTATGATGCGCTCTCCAGCACTTCCTCAACGATGTGGCATTCTTCGCCTTTAGTTCACGAGAACAATTGGAATAACTTTCGTGCTTTATTCGGGAGACTAACCCTAGCAAATGTCATAATTTTTATGACGCGTTGAACCGCCACCGAATTGGTGACCACCCAGTGAAAATAATAAACACTTGAAAGTAAAATTTTAAAAAGTCTAGAACCAATGGCAATGCTGACAAAATAGAATCACATGTTAAATCTACTATTAAGGTAAAATCTACTGTAAAAGTTCGAGATACCCAAATTAGCCTCAGAATACCCTCAGAATTAAGCAAAAAATAAGTTCATGAGGATCGAATCTCGGAACATGTGATATATAATTTCTGGAAGGGAAAGGCTAAAACGAACCAAGTCCGTCATATTTGTTACCACATCAACCCCAAACCTCCCCAAAGCAAGAAAAAAATGTTTGAGTTTTGAATTTGATGATCTATGGGAAACTGAAATAGGCTTCTCGTCGCAGTTGCAGATGTGTATGATTTCAAAGAAAGGCGGCAGAAACATTAATGAGATTGCGAAAATTCAAGGAACTGGAGACGGCGGAAATTCCAGACTCATAGACGGCGTAGATGCTACTCCGGCGGAGGAGCAATCCTGCGTCCCCTCGAACTGTAGGAGGATGACCATATATGTCACCACCGCATTCAGCATCTAAACGAATATAGGATAGACTCCTTCCCCTCACCCCAAAGCATCAGAACTTTCCGACGAAAAGAGGAAAAACTCACAACCACAATGATGGAGCGACCAAGTGGAAAGTAGCCACTAAGGCAGATCCCAATGGGATGATCCTTCATGAAGGTTAATGTCTCCTCTCTTCCCCTCTCGTGGAATGACCTGCCCGTTTTGCCCCTTTCCTCAAGGAGAGCATTGTACAAAGCCCTCGCCTGTTTTGGTGCAAGGAAGGAACTTCATCATCCTGTAATCTCGAGTGATTCGAGATCACGATCGTGATCACCTACCTTTCTCTCGATATGGTAAGGACCGAAAGTGAGAAGGAAAAATCGAATCAATTGCTGAAGCAGATTCAAAACAGATTCGGAGAGTTCCATGACGTCGAACGCTTCGGGGCAGGATGAGGATATTATCATGGAGGAAATGTTGTAAAGTTCGGTGAAGATCATGAGGAAGTTGTTGAGGAGGGAGACGAGGATCGGGTAGGTCAGGGCTCCTCCCAGCTTGTTGGCCAGCATCCACACGTCGGCGTATATCGTCCTGCAAGAATGCAAATGTTTGAGGGTTTCTCTCGGCGAGGTCCAAGTGCTTCATAGTTAAGGCTGGAGTAAAAAGACTCACTGGATGAGTTCGGGGTCGGAATCAGTGCGGATCTCGTGCAGGGTCTGGGCTAGTTCCAGGCAAAAGGCCAAGGTCAAAACCGTGGTGCTTGCGCTATTGAAACCGATCACGGCTTCGTTGTAGAACATGTACTTCAGGAAAAGACTCGGTTGCATGCGGTTAACCATGAAAAATCTCAGGAGAAAGATGAGGACGATGGTGACGATCGCAATGATGGGAATCCAACGTGGGAGTTTGCTGCAGCAGTGTCCGAAAGTCTTTTCAAAGCGACAAAAGAGATTTGCAATGCTTCTCCCGAATACGAGGAAATATAACTGGTAGAAGAGAGACAAGATGTGCAAATTCGCAATGAGGAGGCCATGAACCACCCTTTGAAAGTGGCTGGTGTCTTGCCCTCCCATTTGCCCGCCACCGTACAGCCTATGGAGCACTCCCATGCTGTTGTAGATGGAGAACGAGAAAAACATGAGGGAGTAGAGGAAGGGGAAAGTGCAGACACGGAATGTTGGCCGGGGTCTTCCAAAGATCCCGCTGAAGGGGAAGGAACCGCAGACAAGGAGGAGACCAGCAGTAGGTCTAAATTTCTCCCACAGAGTCAAAGCCATCTCGACCTTCACCGCACGCTTCAGTCTGACGAAATGGACGTACTTGGCAGTTCTTGTTCATTCTCACCCTACATGCAAGTATGCAGAGCATATAAGCACGCGCAATGCTTAGGACAGTGCATTTAGTGATGTGGACGCGCACGTTCGTGCTCGAGGTCCATATGTTGGGTTGGGCGGTAGGAAGGGGATAAACTCCATGAATGACGATTAATTGGTTGATTCATAAATTGGGTAGTTCGGAACATACGTAGAGCCAAGCCCAAACGGTATGCTATTACAAAAGGTGTTTTCCCGTCTCGCCCCTTCCCACAGCCTCAATGAAATAAAAAAAATTTCCTCTTGGGTCACTTATCGAACGCCGGAAACGCCAAAATTCAAATTAGATGTAATATGGTTCCACCACGCTTCCTCCGCCCTCCAAATAAGGGAATAATCGATCAAATACGTTGGTTTCCATTATTGACGGGTAATACCCAATGGCTTTCTATCTCCTTGCTCCTTCGATATCGACCAGTGCCGTTCTGTCTCGGTGACCGAAACTTTTTCATTCAATCTCCTCATCATCCAACACGACTTGAAATGAAAACGCTCCACCCGTCTTGGCACTCAGCTGGTTTGTAAGCATCCCCAATCTTTAACCTGTTGCACTCTTCCGGCATTTGGAAGTGCCTCGTGAATCCGATTCCTCCAAGTAAAATTCTCATTATCGATTGATATGATTGCCTTCATCATCCCCCGAGAGGATTCAATCGAACTTGGTTCTAGGACTTTTTCGGACAAAAGCCACGAATGCCCCCCCCCCCTCCCCCCCCCCCTCTCCCCCCACCACTCCCCAAATGAAAAATTTCTGTATCAGCCACTAGAAAGACCCATTTCAGCCTTCTCGCATCTGGAAAGCATCTAGCATTTAAATACCAAAGCGCTTCTCAAACGTCATGCAAGTACCATTAAAGTACGAGTCAGTACCAGGTCATTGACGGGACTTCACCCTGCTTCAAACCTTCAACCTTCCGCCTGAACAAGATGCGCAACCCTCGCCTACCCTCATCCCCTATTGGGATACTTTGCAGCTATTCTAATTATTTTTAGCGGATCCTTCTGCGGACGATGTGAATTTCCATACGATTACGTTTTCTTTCGGCATTTGATGGAACTGAAGTTCCAGGATTCCTTCGTTCCAGAAACGCAAGGCGAATCGAAAGCGGGAAACAAGGAAAAGACACACGCCTTATAAGAATTGATCGTGCAACGATTCGAGTTCAATCGAGAAATCTTCAGGGTGGAGATCCTCGTTTTCAAAACGATTCAAAAACGCAATACGTGGAAATCGGATTCATTATAGACGGGGCCTTTGAAATCATTGCGCAAATAATAATTAAGTTTATAATAATTACACTACTTTTTTTCGAAACTGCTGTCGTAAGTGCAATGCAAAGTGGGAGGAAATTCTCCAATTCTCAAAAATTGAAGGCTTCACGGGCAAAATTTGGGAAATTTTGACACAAGAGAAATCATTCGCCATCGATTGTGCAATAATTTGTCTTCTGTGACTCGTCGAATTGGAGGAGGATGACCATGTAGGTCACAACTGCGTTCAGCATCTAGGGTGAAAAGGAAAGCTTGGACATTACAGAGTAAGTTTCCAGACCCTCCCTGACAATATGAAATAATACAGTCAACAATATAATTAAAAATATATATTAACTAATAATGCTTTTACGAAACGCACATCTATCAGGATGGAGCGGCCAAGAGGGAAAAACCCGCTGAGGGAGATCCTCATCGGATGGTCCTTCATGAAATTTAATGCCTCGCCCCTCCCGCTCTTTCGGTATGAGTCGGTGTTTCTTTCCTCCAGTAGACCATCATACAAAGCCCTCGCCTGTTTTGATTCAAGGAAGAGACATTCATCATCACGCCACCTCCAGAAACAAACGATCGCCATCACGCGCCTTTTCCTCGATGTAATATGGGCCGAAGGTGAGGAGAAGGAGTCGGACGAGCTGCTGAAGAAGGTTCAAACCCGACTTGTAGAACTCCATGGCATCGATCGATTTGCAGCTGGATACCGAGCGTATCATGGAGGAAATGTTGTAGAGCTCGGCGAAGACCATGAGGATGTTGTTGAGTAGGGAGACCAGGATCGGGTAAGTCAATGCGTTGCCCAATTGGCCGGCCAGCATCCATACGTCGGCGTATTTCGTCCTGCAAGAATCCACATGTTTAGGCCTTCTGTTGGGAAAGATCCACACTCCTGAGTACTATACCATGAAATATCAATAGTATTCCTGTTCCCTCGGTTGGATTGAGGCGGAGAGAGAGGGGACTCACTGGATGAGTATGGAATCTGAGTCAGTGCGGATCTCGTGTAGGGTATGAGCTAATTCCAGGCAGAAGGCCAGGGTCAAAACCGTGATGCTCGCGCTGTTGAAACCGATCACGGCTTCGTAGTAGAACTTGTACTCCAGGAGGAGGCTCAGTCTCATGTTGTTCAATAAGTAGAATCTCAAGAGATAGATCAGTGCGATGATGATGATCGCAATGAAGGGAATCCAACGGGGGATATTGCTGGAGCAGTGCCCAAAGGTCTTTTCAAAGCGACGAAAGAGACTCGCAATGCTGCGACCGAATATGAGGGAATAGAACTGGTAGAACAGAGACAAGAGATGTAAATTCATGATGAGAATGCCGTGCACAACAGATTGGAAAGGGCTCATTCCCTCCTGCTCCTTGTTTTCTTGGATCGAGAAGCGATTCGCCTGCCTCTGGATCACTTCCAGGCTGATGAAGAAGGAAAGGCAGGAAACCATGAGGGAGTAGAGGAAAGGGATGGTGCAGACGCGGAATGTCGGCCGCGGGCTCTCGAAGATCCCGCTGAAGGGGAAGGAGCCGCAGGCGAGGAGGAGAGCAGCAGTAGGTCGAAACTTCGCCCACAGGGTCACAGCCATCTCGACCTTCCTCCTTTCTCAACGAGAATGGGAGGGGTGGAACCGACAGACAGTTCATGCTGATGTCCAGTCATTACAAGACTGTTCAATATGCATGAGTACGTCGGGGCCTGCGCCATTCAATACCACTACCCACTATTGCGCAATTTGTGAATGATTTTGGCCGGCGATCGCATCTATAAAGACGGGCGGGGCAAAAGGGACAAACTCCGAGGATGATGATTAGTTGGCTGCTTGTCAACCATTTACTGGCTGAAATATCAAATGATTTGCAACGGCTGTCTCACGCTTGCTCCGTCCCTCGAGCGATCAGCGAACAATTGACTTAGGACTTATGAAGATCCAAACTGAGTGAAGATGATGCCCAATGCTCTTGACCTCCTCATTCGTTTTTTTTTTTTACTTCTCTATTCCCTTTCTTTTTGCCACCCATTGATTCCACAAAAACTTGATTCTTATTATTTGGTCATTCCATCTCGATTTTCGTACAACTGTAGAGACATCCCATACATGAGTCGTGTGCTTTTCCTTTACTAAGGGTTCGCCCCCTTCACCTCATTCATTTCAAGGTCTTCCCCCTTCACCTCATTCATTTCAAGGTCTTCCCCCTTCACCTTGAGCCACTTTCACTGCGAACTGGTGTGGGAAAGAAATATCTTGGGGAGAGGCATTAGGCATGGTGACATCTGTGGCATCGCTTGGTCCTTCACCTCTCCCCACACCTCTCCAGCTTTTCTTCCTGAGAACAGAACAGCACGGCCTGGACGGTGAATCGTGTTTTATTCGTAAAAGCCAGAAAGCCCGAAAGAGCTCTCTCCAGTAACTCACATAGACGTAAAAAAACAAGCACAAATCTCTTCGGCGATTTTCTGAGTAACCGCGTTAAAAATAAGGCGACCGCCAGCACGAAGCAGATCTTAAGAAGCCCAGTCCCCAAAGCAATATGGATTTAACGTCGATAAGTTGACGATCCCGATGCCGATTCGACGTTGACTCGATGTTGAAAACACTGCAAGAACAACGAAGAAACAAGGCACCCTGACCCCAAAGTGAGATGGCAACAAATCACCCACAAGGGGAATTTTTCACCTCTTACACGCAACCGGTACCCAGTCCTTCAAGACGGTACTTGATATTTTCCCCACACTCAACGCCTACTTGAATTCCTGCATGCATTCGACAACCCCAACCCAACGGAGACCCCGGAAAATTCTGAGCCCGGGAACCGAGAGAGAAGAAAGTTCGTGACCGGATGAGACCCAGCCGCTAAAAGGCGCAATTCCTAGCCTCCTTTTCAATTCCCTCTATTCCCTCCATTCCCTCCATTCCCTCCATTCCCTCTTGTACCCACTTACTTCGATCTCTCTCTCTCTCTGAACTCAGTCTGGCCTGCGTCGGATTTGGCGTGGGGCAACTCTCACTTCGACGTCCGAGGGGATGAGGTCACGCTCATTAAATCATATACTGATTATTTCATACAGAGCACTCAATTTTGATTCAACGTGGCAATCGACGTTCTTCCATATTGCTGTGCGAACGGGAAAGATTAGGAAAAATAAGAATCGCACAGAGACTTTCGTAGGGGGGGATGCTGAGAGATGCAGGGGACCGATACGTAACGCCAATAGATATCTGCTGTTAAAGCATGAGCAAATACTAAACGAGAGCGGAATTTTGGGACGAAGGAAGAAACTTATCGAAATATAAAACGGTACTTTTTTGACGGAACGGTGAAATAAATAAAAAAATTTTAAACGGAAAAAAACGAGCAAAAGAGCTGGTCGCCCTTGTTACTACGTAGGCAAAGAATATATCCATGAAAAGAATGAGAGACCAAATTTTGTCGTCCGTGAGACACTCAAATCAATCTTCAGACACAAAGCGGAAAATCTGAAAAGTTCATTCCAGCGTTTCGACACGCGACAGAATTTCTTCCGTGTGTGCATTCGTTGACGGCGCGTGGTTCCTTCCTGACGGTGCCGGCGCCGAACGCGAAACGCGAGGGGCGTGCTCAGGGAACGTGAGGCGGCGGAGATGGCGTTCCGGCGAACGTACAGGCTTGCGTCCCCTCGAATTGGAGGAGGATGACCATGTAGGTCACCACGGCGTCCAGCATCTTTGGCGAAAATGGAACAAACGGAATCTCATTTCTCCCGTCCCAGAATCATCGCATCTTCGAGTCCCAATCAATCGACTAGAGTACCAGCCCAAGTACAGATCTGCCATTCCAATGGCCCCCATACTACTGGAATCATCACCTCTACCGCATCCTATCCATCCAACCTCGAAATAAATCATCGCTGTCATTGGTACATCATAGGCTTACACAAAAAGGCCCAGACGATAAGACATATTCTTAACGATTCGCGCATCCGCGTCGCGTGGAGATGGGAGGAGAGAATTAAGAGTAAGTTGACAGATGCGACATTCCGCGCGTACGCCTAGCAACCCTGTCTACCTGCCCACGAGCAGCCCTTTTTTCCCATTGTCGAACTTACAATGGATCCGACAGTCGTAGGCTACCACCTCGACCGAGGCAAAACGCTGCACATTTGCTACGGATACTGCGGACAGACGGAATGAAAACTAGCAATAAAAAAAAATTGAAAAATGACGGTCTGACCACAATATCTGCCATTTCCCCATCGGATCTATGCTCATGGCAGTTAATAATTAAGTAAAAACCCACAGCAACAAGGATGGAGCGACCGAGTGGAAAGTAGCCGTCAAGACAGATCCTTATGGGATGATCGTTCATGAAGATCAACGTCTCCTCTCTCTCGCTCTTGCGGAATACTTTGGCGTTTTTGCCCCTTTCCTCGAGGAGAGCCCTGTATAAACCTCTTGCCTGTTTCGGAGGAGAAATATATAAAAATAAATAAGAGAAATATTTACCATCATGCCATCGCGGACGATTCGTGACGATTGTTCGCGATCGCTCGCCTTTTTCTCGATGTGATACGGACCAAAGGTGAGGAGAAAGAATCTGATCAATTGCTGAAGCAGGTTCAAACTCGACTCAGAGAGCTCCATGACGTCGATCGCTTGGTTGCAGGATGCGTTGAACAGGGTGGCCAGGATGTTGTAGAGTTCGGTGAAGATCATGAGGAAGTTGTTGAGGAGGGAGACGAGGATCGGGTAGGACAGTGCTTCCCCCAGCTCGGCGGCCAGCATCCACACGTCGGCATATATCGTCCTGCAATGATCAAAAGTTTTAGGATTTTTCCGGGCAAGGATAGGCATGTGGAAAGACTTCATCGAGAAGAATCGGCTGCTCTTGGCGTCGCGTCGAATCCGCGAATTCCTTTTAGTCTGTTCTGTCTGTTCGAATAGGAATGAGACTGGAGTGGGAAGACTCACTGTATGAGTGCGGCGTCGGAGTCGATTCGGATCTCCTGTAGGGTCCTGGCTAGTTCCAGGCAGAAGGCCAGGGTCAAGACCGTGATGGTTGCGCTGTTGAAACCCATCACGGCTTCGTAGTAGAACTGGTACTCCAGGAAGAGACTCGGTCTCATGTGGTTGACCAAGAATAATCTCAGGAGGAAAATGAGTACGATGATGACTATTGAAACGAAAGGGATCCAACGTGGGAGATTGCTGGAGCAGTGCCCGAAAGTCTTCTCAAAGCGACGGAAGAGATTCGAAATGCTTCGACCGAATACGAGGAAATATAACTGGTAGAAGAGAGACAAGACGTGTAAATTCGCGATGAGGATGGCATGAACCACAGATTGCATGTTGCTCATGCCGCCCTGCTTCGTGGGTCCTCTCATGGACCCGCTATCGTGCTCCATCCGGAATACTCCCATGCTGCTGTAGATGGAGAAGGAGAATACGAAGATGGAGTAGAGGAAGATGAAGGTGCAGACGCGGAAGCTGGGCCGGGGGCTTCCAAAGATCCCGCTGAAGGGGAAGGAGCCGCAGACAAGTAGGAGAGCAGCAGTGGGTCGGAATTTCTCCCACACAGTCAAAGCCATCTCGACCTTCACCCGAGACTCTTCACCGAGAATGCAGCAGCGGCCGACTAGTAGCTTCAGTTCAACGAAGCGTCGGGCAGTTCGCGTTGATTCTCACCCATTATATTAGCACGTGCATAATGCACGGTTTTATCCGGTCATGCGCTCTGCATGACCAAAATCCGCAGTGCAGTATGTGCTTATGGCGTCCGTTAACGCTCTTAATAAGGCAAGGTGGAAACACTACAAGGATAGCGATTATTTGGATCATTCATGAATAGGGTTATCGATGACACAAAGAGCCAAACCCAACGGACCCATCATTAAAAAATGTGTTCGAGCGGAGCAACGCCCACTTCAACATACACCAAAAATAGAGAAAACTTCCCTTCTACGTGAATTATTGTGAACTGTCTGAACTCCGACCTTGACATTAGAGGTATCGACTCCACCACGCTCCCTCCGCCCTCCAAAAACCACAATCGACCGAGGAAATGGCAGATATTGTGGTCAGACCGTCATTTTTCAATTTTTTTTTATTGCTAGTTTTCATTCCGTCTGTCCGCAGTATCCGTAGCAAATGTGCAGCGTTTTGCCTCGGTCGAGGTGGTAGCACTTATGTTGACCCCCCCCCCAAAAAAAAAAAAAAAAGTTGCAAGATTTTCAACAATTTCACTTTTCGAACAGCAGGGATACATGGGGACAAAATAAACTTTTGAAACTTTGTAATACTAGTATCTTAGTAGTAGCAATATTAAAAACTAGATTACAACTTGCTTTGTTTCAAACAATCGCAAATTATCTTTAAATATTTCGATTTTGCCAGGTTTCAATTTCCTGTCTCGGAACATACCCAAGATGCAAACATGATCCCAGGGTGAAAAATGAAAGTTCAGCTCAATCGGCTGTTACCTTGCGTTTCCCCGCCGGTCGATCGAATCCCCACGAAGCGGCCCACGGTCGAGTCCAGGGGAGAGCACCCGGGTGCACCCGGGTGCACCGTCGTCCCTGCCGGGTTCGAGACCCTATCCGCTGAACCACGGCCTTGCCAGAGGTCCAAAAAATGTTCCTACAATTTTCACACTCTGGCTAGATTCCCTCTTCTGGATTTCTCACGACGAATCAAATCATGATTCAACATGAAACTCTAAAGGTCGCCATAGGGAAGAATAAACATCAGAGTGGCGACCGGACACGATCTTTCTGGGCGCATGAAATGGCAATTCGCAAGAAATAGAACTTCATTCAGAAGTTTTACGCGTACGTAAATCGCCATCACGTTTGGGAAAATAATAATAAATAATAATGGAAATATTACTGCGGCTTTCCCAGCGGTAGATCGATTTCTCAAGAGTCGCGCTGAACGTGATGGAAGGAGAAGATCCAAGGGGGGAAAAGGCCTTCATGCTGTGAAGTAGAATTCATTGAAGCCGAAAAAAAAAAACGAGAAAATGCATAATCCAGAGAGATGCCTGGGGCAGTTCATTCTCTTTCTGCGCTGCGAGGAACTGGAATGAAGCAATTCCGTGCAAAGTGGGAGTAATGCCGCGATAGAGGAGGGAACTCGCCGATGAATGAGATTCTCGTGACTTTCTCGTCTTCATCGAAGTCTATTCTCTCGTCCCATTCCGAGGCTGCGAGCCGAAACCCTGTCAAACTCGAGAAGGATGTCACAACTGCATTCAGCATCTGGAAGACGCGAGAGAAATTGAAAATTCCTCGGACGCTCATCCCTCGACCGGCCGGGCGCATCCGGCCGAACTCACCGGGACGAGAACGAAGCGATCGAGGGCGAAATACCCGGCCAGGGAGGATCGGATGGGGTGGCTGCGGACGAATGCGGCGGTGTCGCTCGGCTCGGGGGCATGCGGGTTCGCGGCCGGGTCCGTTTCGAGGGACACGAGGGCCTTGTACAAGCGGTCCACCTGTGAGACGCAGAAGACGGTCAACCGTCATGGTTTTCCTGCCTTTCATCTCGGCCATCCGTTAAATTAGCAAAGGAAAGAACATTTCGCCGCATGCGATAGGAGCAGCACGTGAGGAGCAGAAAGCGAAAAACCTGCTGCAGAAGAGTCACTGTCGATTCCCCCAGCTCGTAGTAGTTGTGCGGATTCGTCGAGAGATCCGCACTTTTCAGCAAGGAGAACGCGTTGTAGAGTTCCGCGAAGATCGTGAGGAAAACGTTGAAGAGCGTCATCATAAGCGGATAGCTTAGGGTTTCTCTAACCTGCTCGGCCAACGTCCAAACGTCCAGATACTTTCTCCATGCGATCCGGCGATTTCGTAGCGAAAACTTATTGCATACTTGATGAGTTGTGGATGAGAATCCTGGTCGACGTCGTCCAAAGTCTTCATCAGATCCAGATAGAACGCCAGGGTCAAGAGCGTGAACGCGTTGCCGTTGATGCTGACCGGAATTTCGTACAGATTCTTTGGGTCGAAGCACATGCCAAATTCGTCAAGGGAGAAGAACCTGACGGACCCGAGGCCGATCATGACGATCGCAGCCCCGAGGGGAGCCCAGCGGGGAAGGCTGCTGGAGCCAGACCCCAACCTCTCGTCGAAGGCGCGGAACAGCACCGCCACCCCACGGCCGAAAAGGAGGAAGTAGATCTGGTAGAAGAGAGAGAGGAGGTGGAGGTTCGTGGTCAGGACGGACTCGACCACCGCTTGGAGGAGGCCGCATCCCTCCTCTATCATGTGGGACTGCATGGAGCCCCGGTCGAAGAGGCGAGCGAAGACGTGCACGCTGTTGTAAGCTAGATGGGCGAGGACCATCGTGCAGTAGAGTTAGGGAAAGGTGCAGACGCGGTGGATAGGCCGGGGGCTCGGAAGAATCCGCTGAAGGGGAAGGAGCCGCAGACGAGGAGGAGGGCAGCAGTGGGTCGGAATTTCTCCCACATGGTCACAGCCATCTCGACCTTCCTCTCGTCTCGGAGTGAGTCATCCGGTGTCCGGCAGTTCGTGTTGATTCCCATTCAATACATCAGTTTCCAATATGCATCAACAAGTTCGGTCACCAGCACACATTATCGAAACCCAATGCGCAGTTTGCGAATGTGTTGGTGCTTATGAAAGAGATGAATAAAGGCGGGGCAAAGGGGTGCGAACTCCATGGACGGAGATAAAATGTCCAATTGAATAAGTGGATAATTGAGAGCAGAACAGCCCAAGATGCACGCTATTACAGAATTATGCACAGGTGTTTCCCCGGCACACCCCTTTTTGCTGTCGCAAAAAATCTGAACATTTTTCCTTTTGCATGAATTATTGAACAGGGGAAACTCCGACCTTCAAATTTGACCCAATGACCTAATGTCCCCCAGACGACAAGCAAATAATCGACAGAGGCCCTCTGTCTCCGAGTGGAGGGGATTCCCACGTGACCTACGTCCCTTTCCCGTCGCCCTGTCCCGCCCCGCCCCCCTTCTCTACCGGTGCTTCCCAGGTCCCAGTCGCTGAAGGTGCGGTCACATATTTCCTTTTAACCCTTTAAAACCCTGGAACTACTGTTATGGGTGGAATGGATCATGATGCAAGAATGTAGCTAATTGGATAAGATTCATCGCGAACTTTAAAATTCCGTGCATTTTCACGAGGACGTGATAGTAATTAGGCAATATATTGGGTTGATGGAAAAGTCTTTTCGTTTTTTGAAAAGATGTTTCCTTGTTTACATGAATTTTGAAAAACATGTTGTTATTGTACTAAGAGATACTACACTTGGTGGCCCACTCCACAACATCCTTGTTCTCTTGTCTGCTCAGTTCATTGTAGAGATAATGGCATCTGAGAAGCAGAATGTCCGTCACTGTCTTCTTTATGTGCATCAGCTTGGACACTCAGCCAGAGAAGTAGCCCGAAATGTGTGCCATGCAGTCGGAGCAGGGACCGTGTCCACTCGAGTGTGTCAGAATTGGTTTGAACGGTTCGCGTCGAGAGAGTCTCGGAGACAGACCGAGGTCAGGCCGACCTTCGGTGTTGCCTCCGGAGGAATTGCTCTCCCTGGTGGAATCCGACACTCGTCAGACTACGCGCTGCCTAGCAAGTACCTTGGGATGGAACCAAAGCACCATCCTTCGCCAACTTCATTCGCTTGGAAAAGTGAGTAGACTTGGATCTTGGGTACCTCACTCTCTAACCCAACGTGACCTTGACGCGCGCTCTGAGGCTTGCGCGAATTTTCTGTCTAAATCCCGTCTAAATTAAATCTAATCCCGTTGAAAGCGACTGATGTGCCTTTCCCTCTTCCACCCGAAACCGCGGGATTCTCGGAAACGTTCCCGAACCCCAGTAACAACACGGCACCAAATCCACCTTCTTCATCTGATCTCGTGAGTCGCGAGGTCTGCACGCCCATGGAGGCTTCGACCTAATTGGGCTCTCAGACTCAGACAAGCTTCAAGTTGCGATGGAAGTCGGTAAGGCGTGAGAATCGGGAAGGCAGCGTTTTTTTTCACGAGCCGATCTGCTTTTTCCCCTGGGAACGAATGCCTTCCGAGGAATGGCTTCTCGCCGTCAAAGGGAATTTAAAAGTGTCATCAGGAATGTTTTTCGACAGCTCTACCTTCTTCCTCTGCTGACGATCCACCGTATCGGTGGATCACTTTCGGAGGCATCGGTATGAGGCGAAGTGCAGTTTTTCCTTCAAGAAATGTCTTTTCCTGTTCGAAAGTGCTTCAAACCCCCAAGAGACACCGTGTCATTTAGCCATGCAACTCCAAGCATCGTCATCGATCTAGCAATTCCAGAGACGGTGGTGTCCATATTCCAGCGTTCTCGCGCCAATAACAAGATCTCATAATATGAAAATGCTGTCGACTGGAAGTCTTCTCAAATTTCCCGGAAGTCATCTCAAAGGGACAAAAGAGATTCGCAATGCTGCGACCGAACGCGAGAAAACAGAATTGGTAGAACAGGGACAATAGATTCAAATTCGCGACGAGGATCGTGTTGACCACCGTTT